TTCATACATGTAAAACTGTGAAAATGATATTACCAGTATAGGTATTATTTGATTAATTTGCAAGATTAGTTGATAATCTTATATTTTGTTAATCAATTTAGTACCCCCTTATTCAGTTGCATCCCCACCCCCGTACACAGATGAGCCCCCACCCTACACGCCCTCGGCAATGTACAACACAGATCCAACGATCGTCTGCCGAGTTTGTCAACAGTTAATTCCAATTCGAGGAAGAGAAAACCAGAGAGTCATAAAATGCTCAAATTGTCAGGAAGCAACGGTAAGTGCTTATAATAATTAAGTACTTTAATTTAATTTGTAAATAAAACTAACTTTATTCTTTGTCAGTTGCATCCAGTGTAACTGCTAGAGCGTAAAAAAAAACCTGTGGTTCCGGTTTCATATCGCGAAAAAATTAGGGTCGGTAGGTCGGAAATAATTTTTTTTTTGAATATTTTTTTCATGGTTTTTTCAATAATTGGTGTGACAACAGACGCCATTTTGGAAGCAGCCCGCAACCACCCGGAGAAAATAGGGTCGCATGGTCAATCGCGTCACAGAGTAGAGACATACAGAGACGTAACTAGTGTACCCACTTTTTTTGTGTGCATGCTCGGCAAGTTACTAGATGCATGCATCTGATTGGATGACGACCTGATGACGACTCACTTTAAACTTGCTGAGCACGCGCAGTTGATCATTTTTTGCCCGATCGCCTGAAAAAAGTGGGTACATGATAACGTAATCTTCCACAGTGTTTACAATGGTCAGTTACGTCTCTGTATGTCTTATCTACTCTGTGATCGCGTTGAAAAAATAATAGGGTCGGTCGGGAACCGGAACCACAGGTATTTTTTTTACGCCTAGAGGAAGTTTGAGTACCTTTAGTGTAACTGCTAGAGGAAATTCGAAAACATGCAGAGTTTGCTATAGTGAAACAGGTAGTAGTGATTGATTGATTGGAATCAGGCCAATATTTCCCCAATTGTTGAGAAAATACGAACTTTAAAAATTATATACATTGTGCCTTGATGCATGTTGCATGTACAAACGTTCAACCTGAATCCGCTTTTTTATGAAAAAAAATCAAATATGTAATCACTCACACAAAAGGTAGCATTGGTGTGGAGCAAACCAGTGCCGTGACGAAAAGATATGAAATGTGTCATTTATGAACAGTTTTACTCTACATAATAAACTTTGGTTGTAGTAACGTTATGTTGAGTGACATCACCTTGTCAACTGACTTTATGTCATCGTTATAAAATCGGTATCAGAATCGGATAGACTGTTGCGTGAATAAACTAGAATATTTAATCGGTATTTTCCATTGTGGCACAATTTGTCAATCATTAACAGGAAGCACTCCCTTTCTTGCCAAATTTCAAAATACAGTGTTTAATTAATATTTATGTTTTAGCCGATCAAACCACCCCCGGAAGGCAAAAAATACATCAGATGCCCCTGCAATGCTTTGCTAACATGTAAAGTTACTTCAACAAGAATATCTTGTCCTCGAACAGACTGGTAAGAATTGGTCTTTGCAAAATCTACACCACAAGGCAAGAGGTTGTACGAGTGTACATTTAACAATATATTTTCTATTGTAGCAAGCGTATCATTACGGTCGGATCTGCAGTACCCAGTACATCACATGTGATCATTGCCAGTCCCAATCTTGCTCATGAAATGAGAGTACGAGTCAGTTGCGGACACTGCAATGAAATATTTATCGTAAGTAAATGTTTACCAAAGTATAAATTGTCAACTTTTCAAAACTGCAACATTAATGTTTTTAAAAGTTTGATGAGTGACATTAACCCACTGAGTTGCATTGCATCCCGCTTTATTATTTACTCTGTCTAATGCCAGATGATTTTAATTTGTTGCTCGATAGGTTCATACCCGCCTGGAAAGTCCTTGAATTGGGGACAAAAATCCTTGCCATTTTCAAAGATTTTTCCCAGTTCTAGGTCCTTGAATTTACTGAAAAATGCCTTGAAAGTCCTGCAAAAGCCCTTGAATTTCACCTTCACCAAAGGGTGAACCATTCTAATTAATTTGTAATAAATATTTTTATTTTTATAGTTCCGAAATACGGCACATCTGGCTCGATGCCCGCACTGTCACAGGATGTAAGCAGTTTATTCAACAGTATATACTGCTTGAAAAAATATTGCTTTTGGCAAACTTTTTTATTTCATTTCAAATCTAGTCTTTACCACTAGCTGTTCAAATTGAATTTCCTTTCCATTTAGTTCTTCAGTTGGTTCAAGGTTTGCAAGAAACAGAGCTTTAGTGTTCGCCATGATTGGTCTACTCTTCTTAGCTGTCGGAGTTGGAGTTACCGTAAGTTCAAAGCTTGTTTTTGACAAATACAAACATTTAAAATTCTGGAGTAAGGTGCATCCCACGTTGTTATTTTACTCTGTCTATCGCCCGATGATTTTACTTGTCAGCGGGAGAGTGCTGCTACGCAATGGGTTAACATTTTTGTGTTTTGTCAAGGTCGCAACCATGGCAATGGCCTCGAAAAATGGAGGTTGGTTGATTTTATTTTTTGCAAAGAAGGCAGTATGATATATAATTTATGGGTGTTTCAAGTGACAAATAATAGTGTAGTTTTACATGTACTAGTTAAAACATGAGCAGCCGATCTTTATCTGATACACAAACTTGAGCCGAAGGCGAGAGTTTGTATATCAGATAAATATTAGATGTGAATGTTTTAATGTACTTAAAAAATGACCCATCTTACGAGTGCATTGGTGAAGTAATTTTAAAAATAAACATTGTCTATGCTGAGAAAATCAAAGTTGAAGTTTATGTAAATTAGGAAAAATCTTTATCCGATTTACACACATTGATTTAAACATTCATTTCTTTTGTCTGTTCCTCATGAATTATTAATGTTACGTACATATAGTACTACTGCTGTGCGAATGTCCTGATTTGATAATTGAAATTGAATAAAACAATTAAATTTTTTTCTACCTTATAGGTATCTATGTCGTTTGGGTTGGTAAGTATTACTCTTTGAAATATTTTTTGTTACTGCTTTCAAAAGTGAAAAAGAATATAGAAAATTTCATGAAAATTATTTAGTGATATTATATGAACTTAGGCTTTGTTTACAAACAGCCTGCTGCCAAGGCACCAAACTAATTTTCAAATTAGCACGACCAGGCATGTTAACATTGAAAAAATTTGATTTATGCAATGTGCTATGACTGAACTTAGAATTAGATAAGTAATTGGCTCATAGCATGGTGTATTCCAAGCTTTAATTGACCACTTTATTTCTTTAGTTTTAATAATTTCTCTGCTTCTATTCTGTTTCCAGGCGCGTTCATCGCTGGTCTGTTAAACCTCATTCGCAGCTGCTACTATTGTACAATGACGGTTAGCCAAACTGAAGGAACTATTTAAAGCTGGTGTTGTGTGTGAACCGTCGAAATGAAACGAACTTGACCCCTCTGCAAAGAGATCGCACCTGTACAGTCAGTCAGCATGGCCACTTTTTATGAATTTTATATAACCTAATTTGCACAGCATAGATTTTTATTAGAATATGCAGAATAACTGAGTCATATACTAACTTATCACAAGTAAAATCAACTTGCAAAAATATGTAGGCATACAAGACGGGGTGAGGGGGAGGGGGGGACAACTGCCCCCCAAATGCTGGGGAAAATTTTAAAAAGTTCTGGCAAATATATCATAAAATATGTTAAATTTAGGTTATTTCATTACAATACTCATTACATATACTGTATATTGGGGCAAGATTTCAAGTCCCCATGGAGAGGATCCCCCTGTACGCTTATGTCTATAGTTGAACTTGGAACTTATTTGCTGTTGATCTGGCTATGAAACTTAATCTAGCTAGTTGATAATATAGTAAGTACAACACAGGAAAAACAATTTCTAGTACCAGAGTGACTAAATTGTTTGATACAGTATGTATCGATTTTGTGTTTGGTGGCCAGTACCACTGGTGGAAAATATTTTTTCTCAGTGCTCAAAATTTTCTGCAAAAGATTATAATATAATATCATGGGGAACTGTCTTTTTTACCTCACATGAAGCAATATATCTTTAAGATTGATAAGGCATGGCATACAAGATAACTCCTGAAATAATCATAGTAGTTGCAGTCTCACAGGATTACACAATATGAATATTTTCATTCCCAACTGTTCCGATGTAATTTAGGTATCGACTTAGCAGATTAATCTGGTATTCAATCATTTCAATAATATGGTATTTAGTGATTTAGGTATTCAATTGGTGTAATTTTCTACCCTGCTGGCAGTGGTTTCTGAGCTGAGGAGAAACCACTTTCTCCCTCGCTGCCGAAGCTCAGCTCAGAAATCACTGCCAGCAGGGTAGTAATTTTCAGAAGTGGTTATCAAACATCAAAAAATGTCTGAAAAATTAGGCAAAAATGTAGATCAGGGAACCATTTTTTCCACCTCTTGACAAGCACTGAAGCACATGTATTATGCACTCATAAAGAGTCAGTACAATGAGGAATGTCCTTGATCAGTTTTACTGTAAAATCACATGGGCAGTTTTGTAGAAAGTATTGAATTTTCTCAATGACAAAATTAATATAATATATGTAGCATCATTTTCATCCAAACTCTTTTTTTCATGTGTATATCATGTCATGTAGATTTTACTGTAAATGAACAAATAAAATGTGATTCGTTATAATTTTGTATTTCCTTGAAAGTTTGCGTGGCGATATCTACTATTTAAAACACGAGTAGGAGTGTTTTATCAAGTATTTAACGCGAGGCAAGTCTGATAAAACACGACAACGAGTGTTTTGAATAGCTTAAAATACGACTACAAAAGAATACTAATTAGGATGAACAATTATATAAAGAATACTAACGAAGAAGAATTTGATCAGATATAAAGTCACTCCACGTGACATATGGCTGACATGATTTGCCACAGGTTTATGAATTATTAATGATATTTTAATATAATAAAGACGCCCTATACACCCTTTTCATAAATGGCTGCCGATTAAAAATTCTTTTATGTGCATATAAATTGCCCAACTAGCCTCGTACTCATGTTAGGATTTCAAAGGAATTTCTACCCAGAAAGAGGCTAGTTGGGCCACGGTTTGGCCAATTTATATGCACATAAAAGAATTTTTAATCAGCAGCCATTTATGAAAAGGGTGTATAGACCGTTTCCAAAAATGATTGTCGTTCTTTTGTCTTTCGAAAATTAGTTTCAATCAAGGTAATCGCTACCGCCTTATATAATACTTCAAGACTGAAAACAGTTTTACATAGTATAGATATAATACAATGTATTCTCTTTGTGAAATTACTGTAAATGTTAAAAATACCCAAGGTTATACTAGTTTATTGGCCTGGTAATGCAAGAATATATAATAAGGAAAAAATTGTAGCTAGTTTTTCGGAACTGTTACATTGACACACCCATTCAAGCCCTTGTTATAAATATTCCAATCTGATTCTCAAATGTAATGAAATCGACAATGTTGTAAATTTCAACGAGAACGGGAAACCCCTTGTAGGTTTGTACATTTCAATACTTTATTCGAACAATTCTTTTTGTTTTATTTGTACAGAAAATACCGCGTTTTTCATTTCGTAAAGCGGCAAATTGTTTTAATCAGCCTGGTAATGCAATATACAGGGTGTATAAAAAAAGGAGACCTTTAGAAATCAAGCATATTGTTAAAATTTGAATGCCTTTTCAATTGCACGTATGCTGAACCATGGTGCGTGAAATATTGATGGAGTGCATATATTAGAAAAAGGAGACCTTTAGAAATCAACCATTGTTATAATTTGAATCCTGGAGCACTTTGCTAAGCCCACAAGTGCGTATAACATGCGATCTACGTACAGTATGCATGGCAGATTGTTCCCAAGAGCAGACAATCTTTTGTTTAAACGTTATTTCAAATTCTAAAGGTCTCCTTTTTCTAATATACAGTACAGGTATGCACCCCATCAATATTTCACGCACTACGGTTCAGAATATGTGCAATTGAAAAGGCATTCAAATTTTAACAATATGCTTGATTTCTAAAGGTCTCCTTTTTTTTATACACCCTGTATTATGTGAAATATTAAATGACCTTGTTGGTTTCAAATGTAATGAAATCGACAATGTTGTAAATTTCAACGAGAAAGGGAAATCCCTTGTTCATTTCGATACTTTATTCTCACAATTCTATTCGTATAGAAAATTAGAAAATACCGCGCTTTTTTATTTCGTAGACTGGCAAAGATTTTAATCCGCAAATCCGGAGTCGAACTAAAAGCAGACTTGATAGTTCATACTATAAAAATATCTAAACTTCAGCTAAAAACCAGCAGGATCCAAGCTCGAATGCTCAAATTGTACATCCTGTTACAGCAGGTTTTTAATCGTTTTGTTTTGCCGTTTCAAAATGATCTACAATCGATCACATGAGTTTACCGGAACTGCATGTAATTGGATTGCTCTCTAGATCTTGGCCCATGTGACCCGTGCCAATTTCCTGTTGTATAAAGGCAAGCATATCTGATATTGTTCATTCTTTGTTTTGCTCGTATCTTGTGCGCATCGCTTCTTGTTTAAAAGCTTTCGAATACACTACAGCATAATGGCAAGCGAAGAACAAGCTCAAGCAGAAACTCCGGCAGCAGAAACTCCTATTGATCTGGATGAAAAGCCCGAACTTCACCGTGTTGTGGTTTTGACGGGGACAGGAGGTCTCAATAAAGTCGAAGTGCATAAAGTTGCCAAGCCCAAGCCAGGAGAAGGCGAAGTTTTGATAAAAATTCATGCCAGGTAAAACCGATTTAACTTTAGTTTTCGTATGAAATATATCTAATTGCTAAGTTTATTGTAAATTAAGAGTATTACGAGCCTAGATGAAACGATGCCGTACAAAGATACACGCCCATATTATTATTTGCGAAAATAAACATTTCATTTTGAATATTCATGTTGCAACGTCTCTACTAGAAAACTCTCGTTTCTCTTCGTTTTGAAGTAGTTAGCTACCTAGACAGCATTGAAGTGTTTAATTTTCGCGCAAAACAAAATAGCTGAGACATTATGCATATTTGTAAGTGATCATTTTCAACAAATATTCAAACGCTTATTATAATTATAAACAAAGTTTGCATAGTTATTAAGAGACGTGCAACGTGTACTTTGTCACGACAGCTTTTACACACATGCATGGATAAATCCGTTTTTTATGCATGGTTTTGTCCCCAAAAGTTGCCAAGATTCTAGTTTATATATTGTATAATGCTATGTAGTAACAAAAATATGGCTATATAAATATGCACGAATGATTGAATTAAATTCACGCACTGTATATGAAAGGCTTTTATCTGAACACCGCGCAAAGAGAAAGTTCTCCCTAAATATATCAGCAGAAGTTTAGAACAAATTATTGTTCAACCATGCTTCTCGATCACCTCCAGGCATTGTCGCCTCATGGTGTTGAGGAGTCTGTTCACATGCCATTGAGGTATGGGCGGTATGGCCATGGATCCTTCCTCTGCAACAAGCTAAGTCAGCCAGGGTGCTGTATTCTGCATGTGATTTGACGATTAGACAGAGCGCTTGAGCTGGTTGCAAAGATGCTGGATTGGGTAGTGATGGGCGATTACCGATTACTTGGTATCGATACCACCCGATACCAGGCCCAAATCAGAAGTAGTCGATACTGCACTGCATTGAAAAAGTGTTTTGATTACTTTTAAAATTAGACGTTTATTATACGAAGTGACTATATGACCGGCAGCCGGTCACGGTTTATCAAATACTAAATGGCCGGCAGTCTAGTGACTATTGTTAAAGTTGAATTTTTATAAGATAAACCTATCCCCAACCCCAAACCCTTTTCTAAC